TTCCACGGGGGTGGTAAGCCTTTCCTCACATGCAAAGGGAAAGATGACCCCCCCCCCTTGGGTGGAAAGGTCACATGGCACAGGCCACTTTTACTAAATAATGCTGAACCTGCACTTCATGAAAGCAAGAACAAAAGCTGTCTGCTGTAGCCCTTAAGGTACTGCACTCCTGGAAAATAAGACTCCTTTTAAGACATGGGGTTCTGTTCACTTGTTTTCATTTATTTTTTTTTTAAACAACACTTCACATATTCTGTAAAGCAGAACTTCCTGTATGACAAAAATATCTCACTATGAAGTTTTTGTTTTTCCTTGGCCATTTTAAGTGGAAAATAATTCTAGGCTGAGTTATGAATTCAAATATGAAATCGTCCCTGAGACTCGAGGAACTGACACATAGTGTGTGCTGATAGCATGAAGGAAGGTACTGGGTATGGTGTGAGGAGCAGGGAGATTTCCCAGAAGAGTGAGGCACAGTGGCTGGCCCAACAGAGCCCTTGAGGTCCTAAGCCCTAGCTCTGCCCATCTGAGGCCTGTCGTTTGGGGCTAGCTCCTTCACTTCCCTAAACACCACAGGCCACTCCTATAGCGAGGGTATGTGGCTCACAGTTTTGTACCTTGGCTTACAGGAAACTGCATTAAGTTCTTCACTTTTAACTACCTTCTACTTCCCCTTTACCATTTAGACACTCTAAGGTGGGGCTTCCCCCAGCCTCTGGCCTCTGGGTTTCYGTGTACTACTTTCTCCCCCGGGTTACCACCCCTTAGCCACTTCAGACTCCTCCAGTGCATCTTCACACAGACACCTTGCCCAACCCCTTTACCCTCAGCCAGAGTAAAGCCAAATTTGTTATTTCTTCCCTAAGTTATCGCCTGACGCTTGGAATGGACAGTTCTTTTAAACACGGCCCCTCATCCCAGACTCCAAACCCCCAAGTCATCCTTAGGCTTGTTTTTCTAGTTGCTTATCAAGGCAGTCACCAAATTCTGTTCCTTATCTAATTCAGTTCTTTCTCTGAGACTTCCTTCAGTCAGACCAGGAATGGAAATCCAATGGTTTATAATAATTTTGTCAGTGCTTGTTTGTTTCCTTGTTTTAGGAGTAGCAGGACTGTTTCCTTCATATTGATTTATTATCATTATTATTAATTTTCTTTTTTTGCAATGCTAGCAATCAAACCCAAAGTCTTGAGTATGTTAGGCAAGTGCCATACCACTAAGCTACACCCCCACCCCACAGATTTGTTATTTTAAAAACTGAAATTAAACACACTTCTGTTCTCTCATCTTAATCACCTACCTATGCTATAGTTAACCACATTGGTTCTTGATACCAGAGTCACTACCTTTCCAGTGTCTTTTTTTTTTTAAAGAGAGAGTGAGAGGGGAGAGAGAGAGAGAGAGAGAGAATTTTTAATATTTATTTATTTTTTTAGTTCTCGGCGGACACAACATCTTTGTTGGTATGTGGTGCTGAGGATCGAACCTGGGCCGCACGCATGCCAGGCGAGCGTGCTACCGCTTGAGCCACATCCCCAGCCCTTTTCAGTGTCTTATAAACAACTTCCACATTAATCTGTGCTTCCCCACTGGAAATCTCCAACAGTGTTGGAGGCTTTGTATTTAAGGTTCTCTCAAATTTCTGTCTGGCCTGTTTTTCAGCCTCCTCCATTGCTCCAATTCAGTGTCCTCTGTTCTCCCTAAATTCCCTACTCTTCTTGGAAATTACCTAGCCGTTTCCTGGTCACAAACCTTTGCTCATACCATTCTTATCTCTTTTCCATACTCTTTGCCTTAGCCACATTTGCCACCTGTGGCTGAATCAGCAGGCCTTTAGCCTCTCCCACCCCAGTTATCCCGCTCTTTTCTTTCCTTTCTGAACTCCACATCACCTTGGGATGGAATTTTCATAGCATGTATCACTTACAACCTCCCTTCTAGACTATGAGTTCTTAACACACACTTTGGACACTTTTCTAGTGTGCTTCTGAACACTGACCACTCCACTGATTAGACTTTAGTCTTTGATTAAGTCACTGAGACAAGGGCAAGAGCAGTGCTTCCTTGCTCCTGCCAAAAACCACAGACCAACTTTCTATTTTTCTGTCTTTTTGACCTAATTACATAAACYTACCATTTTGGAATTGGAGAGCTCAATAAGATTTTAATCCCCAAACCTTTTTCATCAATGTCGAAATGAGATGCTGAGGAGACAGTGTCCAGTCAGAACACATCACTGGCTTTTGGTAGATGGAATACGAAGGCTAGAAACCACTGTGCACACCAGAAACCCCTGGGTTTCCAAATCACTTCCCCAAATAGTGAACTCAATGTCTTATAYATAGAAGAAATCTTTGCTGATTCCAATACAAAGAACACAGCAGAAGTCTAGGTTGTAGAATCAAATTAGGTTTGGATTTGGGCCTGGTTACTGCACAGATTTTGGTAAAAACAACAGTTTTACAGTCCGTTTTCTCATCTGCAAAAAGTGAACTGTTTCCTCATTTGCAAAATGTGGACAGTTATCTCCACTTCATAAAGCAGTGTTGGTGAAATGATATGTGTATGAAGTGTTTAGTACACAGGAAATTGAGGCTACAATTTAAAATAATATTAAGTAAGTTATAAATTTGCAGATTTGGTTCTTCTTAATAATGCTTAGATTTTAGCATAGATCTATTTCTAAATTTAGTAAATGTATCACTTATTTCAGTTTTCTTTCCTTTCCTCTCAGAATGTTGTAATTATTTGAGCAGCTGTGTTACTTAAGAGTTCACCACATTATTTCTCGTAAAAGTTCCTTTTCTTWAAAAAAAAAAAAGTATTTTGAGTATTTTGGAAGGTGAATGCTTAGAACATTTGGTCTAGCTAAGCAGGGTAACAGAGATGATGTTGTTTGTTCTTTTTGTTTTCTGACACTTTGCTGAGCTCTTTGTTTTATCTGGATAAAAGACCGGTGGCATTCACTTGATAAACACTTAGAGAGCTTTATCAGGCCTCAGTGTTAACTTTCCTGTCAGCTTCTTAAATGGCCTTGACCTTTTGCTCTTTCCATGAAGCTGCCTTACCTTTCTCAAGCAGGCACAAAGATGCAGGGAATAAATGAAGACTGGTACCACTTCTAAACCACTGCTGTGTTCTAATATACTGTGCTTTATATCAAATATGGGAGTAATAGTAATGTATTTTAACTGCAATTATGAGGGTCACACTAGATGATTTTAAAAGCCCCTCCCCTTCCCTGACTTCTAAACTCCAGAATGTTCAAATACTGGTACTTTCAGGAAAAGCCTCTAGGAACTCCCTTTTAGGGAATTTCTGTAGGACTGCTTCCTGCATTGGGGAACACAGGATTTGGTTTACTAAGTACGCATAAGTCAGAGAAAATACTATTATGAAAAACCGTTTTCTCCTCCCTCTGAAGTTCATACTAACTGTATTAGTCAGCTTTTCATGACCAAAATACCTGACAAGAACAACTTAGAACAGGAAAAGTTTATTTTGACTCATGATCTCAGAGATAATGTCCATGGTCAGCCATTCCACTGTTCTGGGAAGGAAGTAGCAGAGGAAGCTGCTGACCTCAAGGCAGCTAGGAACCCAAGAGAGGGGAGAAGGGGCTACAGGCAAGATGAACCAACCCTTCTAGGGCCAGTCATGCCCCACCTGCCGACAGTTACCACCCAGTTAGTTCATTCAAAGTAGGATGGACTGATTAGTTTATGGCTCTCAGAATACAATCATTTCACTTCCAAACATTCCTGTATTAACACAGGTGCTTTGGGGAGATACCTCATATCCAAACCAATAAAGAGCTATCAGAAATCACTCCAGAAAAAACATCATAATAGAATGTAATAAAAACCCTCACAACTGGTCCCGGGACCAAGGCACACTTCCAAGTGAGAGATTTCAGGTGAGGTATTTTAGCGTCTAGGGAATCTAAGCTAACTATACCTAGATAAATTATTAAAGGAAACATGTTCTCAAGGTTCTTCTCCAAGAAAATAATTAACCCACCTTTCCATCAATGCACCTTACTGTTTTTGGCAGCAACGTGCTGGGCTGGATCTTTACTTTGGTATCATACAGATCTGAGGTTCTATAGTATCTCAAAGTGGTTGCAAGTGGAACAGTCAAAATAATCCTAATAACCATCTCCCCATTCTGGTTTGACTTGTCTGGGGTGCTTGGCCCTCTGGAACTTTAAAAATCTCATGATTCGCATGTGTAGCTAGCACTGCAAATTATTGGCTGTTTTTAAAGTTATGTAACAAAATTTCCTCTTAAAACCCACCATCTCACCATTTAGCCTTCTGGTTACTGCTTATAGTCTCTCCCCACTCCCCGCCAAACACACACAGGGTGGTGAATTTCACTCTACACTCAGACTGGAATCATCCCAAAGTGGAATTCAAGAGGTGTCCTTGGTAAACAAAGAGAGCCAGGACAAAGAAAGTGATTTCCACCCAAACACCTTGGAAACAAGGATCACTGCCTGTCATATTGCTCTCTAGACTCATGTTCTTGGGTCATTTCCTACTTGAGGTTTTCAGATCATGGGGTGTCCTAGGAGGCGACACCCATCCTTATTTTTCCCACCCTGACGCTGGCATTTGACAGAWCTCCCAGATGAAGCTACCAAAGCCCTGGGCGTGCACTGTTTCTCYGCTGCCCAGGCCTCTGAATTCCACCGCACCTACCGCCCGGCTGGACAGCACTCAGGCGCGCCGAAGGTCCACTTAAATTAATTCAGATTCCAGGGGGGCGAAGCCTGCGCCACGGGGACCCCTCCCCTCTCCCGGGTCKCCCCAGGTTTTCTGTTTACTGGGGAAGCTGATATTTACTGGGTGGCAGCCCAAAGCGGGCCCCACCCAGCAGCGGAAAGAGAGGCCTCGCGTCCGGGCCCCACAGCTCCGCCCTGCGCCGGAACCGCCGCGCGCCTACGCCCCTTGGGGGCGGTGACACGGCCGCGCCCAGCCCCAGTCGCGGTCCCCTACGCCTCACCCGCTGGCGTCACGGAGCCCGAGCTCCGCCCAAGGTGTTAAATTAACTCCTCAGGGCGCCGCGTTCCCCGCCGCCGCTCCTGACTTTCGCGCGGACTCGGCTTCCTGGTTGCGGACGCAGCGGAGTCGCGGCACCGGGCGTCTGTCCCGCGCGCCATGAGCCCCGCGCGGCCGAGCGTGCTGCCCGCAGTGCTGCGCCTGCTGTCCCTGCTGTCCCTGCTGCTGCCGACGCYTCCGGGTGTCCGGGGTGAGTGGGACCCGGGAGCCGCCGGAGCCGGCTAAGCTTGTCGGGTATGGGGGAGCGTTTAGGTCTGTCCMGGTGACTGCGCCGAGGGGCTGCGGACCCGGAAGGGAGGCTGTGGTCCTTGTGTAGTCATTGTTCGGTCACCCTCCACCTTGGGACTCAGACTTCAGACCCAGGGCTCCTGCTGACTTGATCCCCGGGTGGGAAGAGCGACTCCGCTGTGCCGGCTCCCGGCTGGCTTGGCTTTGGGGACAGGTGTGAAGGGTTGAGGAAGTACTAGCTGGCTTTCAGGAGCAGCCAAACCTGGGGCAACGGAAAGGACTTTCAGAGCATGCATTTTCAACCCTCCAACAAGTCCGCTCTTTAAGGGTGGGAGGCCAAGGAGCTGTCCACTTACGCCTGTGACACAGCCCAGTGCATTTGTGTCACTTGCTGGGTGTGCCTGGCAACAGCACCAACGTGGGCTCACAGTAAATTCCAAACCACTTTTTTTTTTTTTTTTTTAAGTAAGAAGGAGGGGTTATTTGCTCTCAACTTTAGTCTTGAATTAATTGACAAGACGTTAGACCTACCAAGTTCTTGGTATGCCAGTTCAGCTTTGGGCAGAAGTAGAGGTTTCTCAGAAGCCATGGACACTTCCCCTATTCGAAGGAACTCTTGGAAAAGAATATTGCTGGGAACTGAAAAGGAGTATTTCCTTCAGGTCTGCTTCTTCCTCTCTAGGTGACTGCGGCCCTCCGCCAGAAGTGCCTAATGCCCAGCCAATTSTTGAAGGGAGTACCAGTTTTCCTGAGAAAGCCACAATAACATATAAATGCAACGAAGGCTTTGTCAAAATTCCTGGGAAGCCAGACTCAGTGGTCTGTCTTGCCAACAATCAATGGTCAGAGTTTATAGAATTCTGTAATCGTAAGTTCTTCATTTCATTTTAGAAAAGTTATGGGAATGGAATGTGTCTTGTTCAGTGTACTATTATATCTCTTTGGAGTGACTGGTAATTGATAGTTTTCTAGCATTATTAAACCCCAGTGTATACTGTGTTGGCTAATTGAAGGCATTACTTCCCTGCTTCTTCATTAAGAGTTTTTTTTTTTTTTTTTCCCCTAACACTGCACCTCCCAAATGGGCTAATAGAGAAAGTAAACAATAGGTACTGTTTAGGGAGTAAATTATATGTGAATATGTTTGGCAGTTACCTAGGTGGTCTATTTTCTTAAATTTCATTTTGTTAAGTAGGAATAGCAAGTATAGCTCTGAAGTGACATTTTAAACTCTCTAAATTTATTTCCAAATCTATTACATACATAACCTTATGTATTAGCCTTGAGATAGTCATGTGTCCCTTAATGATGGAGTTATGTTCTGAGAAATGTGTCTTTGGGCGATTTTGTTATCTGAACAACATGGACTGAACTTAAACAAACCTTAATAATACAGCCTACTACACACCTGGGCTATGTAGTGTAGCCTGTTAGTCCTAGGAACAAACCTGTACAGYGTGTTACTATACTGAATACTGAAGGGAACTGTAGTACAGTGTTTGTGTGTGTCTAGACGTATCCTAACATAGAAAACATGCAGTAAAAATTAAAATTGGTGCACCTGTGTAGGGTTCTTACCATGAATGGAACTTGCAGGACAGGAAGTTGCTCTGGGTGAGTTAGTGAGTGAATAGTGAGTGAATGTGAGTCTTAGGACATTATTATCCCACTACTGAAGACTTTTTAAATTCTGTATACTTAAGACTATGATAAATTTATTTTTAAAAAACCTTCAATAATCAATTTACCTTGGCTTACTGTAACTTCTTTATAAACTTTTTAATTTTTTTAACATCAGGATCTCTATGTGTTGCCTAGGCTAACCCCCAGACTCCTGATCTCAGATGATCCTTCTGTCTCAAAAGCTTTAGTAGCTGGGACTACAGGCATGTGCCACTATGTCCAGCTTGATTTTTTTTTTTTTTAACTTTGACGCTTTTATAATAGCACTTAGCTTAAAGCACAAACATCTTGTACAGCTGTACAAAATTACTTTTCCTTATTATCCTTTTTCTATTTTTAAGATTATTAAATTTTTTACTTTTTAAAACTTTTTATGTTAAAAACTAAGAAACAAACACATACATTAGCCCAGGCCTACACAGGGTCTGAATTATCAATATCACTATCTTTACCGTCATATCCTGTCCCAGTGGAAGGTCTTCAGGGGCAGTCACAGGCATGGAGCTATTATATCCTGTGATAAAAAAGAAAAGTAGAAAGAGTATACTTGAAAATAAAGATATAATATAGTAATACCTAAACTAACAACAGTCATTCATCAGTATCAAGTTTTATGTACTATGCATAATTACATTTGCTATAAATTTATGTGACTGACAACACAGGATATTTGTTTCCTTCGCGTCTCTGCAAACACATGCTGAATGATATTACATTATGATGACTATGACATCACTAAGTGATAGGAAGTTTGGGGCTCTATTATAATCTTATGGGACCGCCATTACATATGCAGTCCATGCTTGACTAAAAAATCATTATGGAGTGCATGACTGTATACAAGCAAAGATTAAAAAAACACCAAACACTTAATTCCTGCTTTTCAAAAACTTGGACCAATGGAAACTATAATAAATACAGAAACTGCCACAAATAGTCTTTGAAACCATGTGTGAAATAGGCTCTAACTTTATATTTCTGTCTACTCCTGATAGAAGGTAGTAGGACGAAGCTTCCAATCCTTTGCACGTGCTTTGTGTTTAGTTTATAACCCTTCCACACCTATTGCTTCACCTAATCCTCCAGACATCCCCATGACTTCAGCAGGGACCCTTATTCCTCTCTCACACTTGAGAACACAAGCTCCCACAAGGTAAATAACCCCCTCAAGTCAGCATCTCTAATGCAAAAGAGCCAAAGTCAAGCTTGGAATTTTGGACTACTAATCCAATGTCCCTTCCTGTACACCAAGCCTCTCTATAGGCTCACATTTGCCCAGCTGTTTATAGTTTGTGCATAATGTACATAATTGGCTCATCAGATCCTTGTTCCCATGGGTTGTTGTGGAATTAAACGAATTTATATGTGCAAAACTAAGTGTTCAACGAATATTAGCTATTATTGTTGTTGTTCAGAACATTAGGCCAGGGGTCTGGAATATTTGTTATGTATCCCTGTACCTCATGTCGTGGTGCTGTGTAATTCCTCAGGGCCATGGCAGGGTAACATAATTATTGAGTCTTAGTACTGTGCCAGGAAACTTAAATGGGTTATATTTATGAAAAGTGGTGATAGTGATATTTATATATTAGATCTATTTCAAAGGCCTCTGGTAACTAGGAAATGAATGTATTTATGCAAACACTCTTCGTACACCACAAATGCTATAGTGACATTTTGTCAAATACCATGTACGTATAAAGAAGTAAAGGAAAGGGGAGGAATTTCCTCAAATAATTAAACATAGATTATAAAATAAGGTGATATGACTTTCTTGTTGTTGCTTTTGTTAATACTTTTAGGTAGCTGTGATGTTCCACCCAGGCTACTTTTTGCATCCCTCAAAAAGGATTATAATATGCAGAATTATTTCCCAGTTGGTTCCACTGTGGAATATGAGTGCCGACCTGGATACATGAGGGACCCTTCTCAGTCTGTAAAACTAACTTGCCTTCAGAATTTAACATGGTCCAAAGCAGCTGAATTTTGTAAAAGTGAGTATAATTTTTAAAAGTGTTCTCACTTATCTGGTGTTGGGGGAAATAGCTCTTCATTTGTGCTGGAACTCTGGGTACAAGTTGTTATTTAGAATAATTCTTAAAACTATGAGAGTCATTTATTTTAAATTAAACAAACTAAATATTTATGTGTTAGGAGTACTTATTCACTCACAAATTTCACACTTCTTTAATGTGAGCTTCTAGATATGTTGCTTTTTTGAAACTTATCAAAAAAATGAAGGTAGAATTCAGGAACTCTAAGGATTAGATATAGCAGTGGTTTGGATGATAAATTTTGTGCCTGATCATTTAAAAAAATTCTGGTTTTATATTTTATACCTTTTACTACAGTAAAATTAACACATAAAAATTGTATGTATTCAAGGGATACAGTATGATGTTTTAATATACATATGTGTTATGAAATGATGACCACAATCAATCTAATTAACATATCCACCACATGGTTATTTTTTATTGTGTGTGTCTGGATAATTTAATGGAAAAAAATTGTATTTTATTTTAGAAAAATCATGTCCTAATCCTGGAGAACTACGAAATGGTGATATCAATATCACAACTGGCCTATTTTATGGTTCACCCATCTTCTTCTCATGTCACACAGGGTAAGTTTTGTTATGCTGAAACTCTATGCTTAACAAGTAAAGAACAAATTAGTACTTGACATGGAAATCTAGCTAGATTTGTGACCATTGTTCACAGACTGGTGGCAACCAAAACAACCTCTGTCCTCAAAAGATTCTTTGTTATAAGCTCATTACAGTTAAACTTAGTAAAAGAGGTCAAGAAAGGAAATTTTATACCACAAACTTCTCTGAATTCTTAGATTTCATTACATATGTGATTTAAAATAAAATTTTAAATGTGATTGCTAAAGGAAAAAAATTGAGATATGTGGATAATACTTAAAGAAGTCAGAAGTAGCAATCCTTCATGTATTAAATATGAAGTTAATTTTTAATTGATCTTAATAAGGAATTAGCACCTGAGTTTTTCCATATGCAACCAATTTATGAAATATCGTAGGCTAAAAACATTTATCCCTAGTTTGAAATATCCTTCTAATGTAAATTCTTTTACCTTTCTCTGTGGAGGGAAAAGGAATGTACTCATTGAGTACCATCAATGCCTTGAATGCAGCTGAAAACTTTACATTCATTTTCTTATTTACTATTTTCAGATTGAATTATGCTCCCTCTTATGTTTTTTTTTTTTAAGTACTGAGAATTGAACTCAGTACTGAGCCATATCCCCAACCCTATTTTGTAATTTTCTTTAGAGACAGGGTCTCACTGAGTTGCTTAATGCCTCACCATGCTGAGGCTGGCTTAGAACTTGTAATCCTCCTGCCTCAGCCTCCTGAGCTGCTGGTATTACAGGCCTGAACCACTGCACTTTATAAAATAAAGAGTCTTTATAAAATAAAATAAAAAAATAGCAGTTTTATTTGTCTATTAAATACAGATGTTAGTTGGGTCATTAAAATCTGAGAAGTACTTTGAACCCTTTAACAATAAATGCTTCCATTAGTTCATGAAATCTGTATTGATCTTTTGGAACTTAGAAATATAAAATGTTTAGTCATCTATGTCATTTAAAAATGTTTTCTACATTTTGTGTTTTCTAATATATGCCCCTTGCAAATAAAAAATGTTCTTTATGTCCTACACTTTTTTTTACCCTTTGGATATCTTATAAGTGATATGACTTAGTTTTTTCTTTTCCTTTAAACTTCCCTATGGACTTTTATCAACTATTGTTTTGTCTCCATCTACTGGTGTAATAAGTAATTTTAAAATGATATTCTAGAGAATCTGAGAAAAGCTAAGTATGTGTGGATATATCTTAATTTTTTTCTCCCCTTTTTGTTCTAGGTATAGATTAGTTGGCGCATCTTCTAGTTACTGTACTCTTTTTGACAGAACTCTTAAATGGAGTGAACCATTGCCAGAGTGCGTAGGTAAATCTTTTTTAAAAATCTAAGCAGTCTGTTTTTAGAGTTGAATGATAATGATAAATTACTTCTGCTCATTAAGAATTATCTACAATGTATATTTCTGGTATCCTTATCTTTCAATGGGTATCATTGATAATTGAAAGACCTTCTCTAGTGATATTTCTTACTTTATTAGCTGTGGGAATAAACTATCAAGCTTCCCTGAGTCTCAGTATTCTTAACTATAGAATGGGAATTAAAAACAAACTTAGGTTTGCATTGTACTTGATCATTTATTATGTAACCATTCCTTCTGAGAGTCAAGTAAGATAGTAGATTTTCCCCCTGCAATTTTATGGAAAGAAATACTGTCAATCAGAGTATGTATGCCTTGACCCCATATTCTAAAGCAAGTGGCAGTAGAATGCATTTAACCCTCTCTTCAGATCTGTAATTTTTCTAAGACTCAGTGTTGCCTACATGTATTCTTAATTTAGGGTTATAATTATCAGCTAATAATTACCTAGAAGTATTTTAATGTATTCTATGTTTTAATCATTAAAGAAGGTAGGTTGTATAATAAAACAAATGTAGTTTTTGCACTTGAGAATCTTACTTTCTCAGAGTGAAGATGGGGCATAGAAATAATATCAAAAGTGGATATAGCTGGGTACAATGGCACATGCCTATAGTCCCAGCAGCTCAGGAGGATCACAAGTTCAAAGCCAGCCTCAGCAAAAAGCAAGGCGCTAAGCAACTCAGTGAGCCTGTCTCTAAATAAAATACAAAATAGGGGTAGGGAGTTAGCTCAGTGGTTGAGTGCCCCTGAGTTCAATCCCTGGTACCCATCCTATTCCCCCCAAAAAGTGGATCTATCCAGGCAAATACTTTGCCAGTAGAGACACATATTCTGAATAATGAGAGAAGTAAATTATTTGCAATTTATTTTTCAGTACTTGGTATGTAACCAAAGGCCTTGCACATGCTAGGCAAGCTCTCTACAACACAGTTACACCAATAGCGTGCAATTCTTTTAAACGTAATCTTTATTCTTCCCACCCTTCTCTGTTTCTACACCTAACTTACTCTTCTGCAAATGACTTCTGAAAATTCTGTTGCAAAATTATTATTTAGTTCATTTTTTTGTATAATAGTTATTAAGAACAGGAATTGAGTATATTGAATATAATTTATCAAGTATTAATTGACTGAACACTCTATGGTAAGTGATGTGTAGTCAAACAAATAAAAGGAATCCTTAACATCAAGGAACCCATTTCAGTCTTACCCACCATATGCTCTCATTTCGAGGTCTACTACTTTTTTCTCCTTAGAATTATTTAAAAATTTTAATCATTACTACCCATTGCCATTCTTCCTATTTTCTTGGTCTGGTAAAGATACTATAAACAACATTAAATTTAAAATGGAAAGGAAGAAGGAGCTGACCCAGGCAAGGAGTCCCGGAGCCTGAATGAGCAGTCTCCCAATCCGAGGCCCGTATTTTTCAAAAGCAACTAATATCATGAGTTTCACAGAAATGTAGCCATCAAGCATATATTCTAGCATAGAAGAGCTTTTGCACCACAAGCCTGTTTTCTCTTCGTGCTGCCATGTGTGGGCACAGTCCCATTCTCTCTGTTTGATGCCTTGCCTCTATTGTAGATATCCTGATGTCTGTACTTTCCTTCTTGTCTCTTCTCCATCTCTCCAAGTCAGCTACTCTGGTGTCCACATCCTTCAGGAAAGCAATCCAGTAACATATCCAAGTCATGTTCACTATGACCCTTACCCCAACTCTCTACCTATGAGGCCTTGCCTTTAAGATCTAGTACTGATTTAGCACATAGTTTACTTTTTTGTTTTGACAATACTAAAAAAGATTGAGTGGAAATTAACTTCTTAAACAAGGAGCTGCTTCCCATCAAGTATGCAGCCCTGGTCTATAGACACATCAGTTTACATTGGTGTCCCTGGGTGGATATTGATATGGAGATATGAAGAAGGAAGAGCAATGAACACTTTGAAGAATTATCCTTAATTATACATGAGATTTTATTTTTGAATGAAGCCTCACTGACAGAAGGATCTCTTTTCCCTCTCTGCCAGTGTTTTCTTTTTCAAAATCGGTTTCAGTTGACTGCTGGTATGTGCTAGCATGCACTCAACCCTTCCTATACAATGACTATCTTCCCAGATCCCTCTCTCAACTCCCCACATGTAATCACTAGGTCATCTTGCTTTATTTCTTCTATATACTTTTCAAATCTGTGTTTCAACTCCATCTCTATCACTTCTAACAGTTTATTATTCCTTGCCTGGAGTATTGCAGTGAGGGCAGTCCCAGGCTAGACTATAAATGGAGATCCCTGAGGGAAACCTGGAAAGGATATTGGCATAGGGAATTCTGAGTACTAGTTCCTGAATCATGTTCTAGAATGGAGGAAGAAGTGGCGTGATGGGCTTTCATTGAGCATATCTTCTCAGTCCTACAAATATCCCTACTGGTGGGAGAGAGGCATTCACCATAGAGCTAGCACAGAGCCTTCAAAGTGTGAAGCCTGGGGCAGAATTCTCAGTTGACCGAGTTCCATTGATGATACCAATAGTAATGGCCTCCCACCTCCATTCCTGTACCCCGTTAACATTTTATCCATAGTCTAACCAGAGTGACCTATTGGGAACACAAATACATCTCTTTCTTAAACTTATTGGTATACCTCATCATTTACAAAGTCCGAACTCCTTAGTATGGCATGGTCTACTTCTCCACATTCATGCTTCATCCTCATATTTTATGCTCAACCCATGCAAACTGCTTGTACTTTTCCATATACCTTACAGTTCTTTGTGCCTCTACTTATTCCTTAAGTTACTGCTTCCACCTGGAATGTCCTTCAGCCCCTCTTGTGCTTGGCTGTTGTTTTCCTAATCAAGGTCTGTCCTATAGAGTCCTTCAGGAAGACTTCCTAGGCTGATGAACAACTTTTCTTCACTCTTTCCATACCACCTGCATACTTCTGTGATAACCCTTACATTTTATTTTGAAGTTATCCCTTTGACTCTCTCCTGTGCACCCTAATTTGTTGTCAATCAAAATAGCTTGTTCTTGGGCTGGAGCTGTAGCTCAATGGTAGAGTGCTTACCTTGCACGTGTGAAGCACTGGGTTTGATCCTTAGCACTAGATTAAAAATAATAATAACAAAGATATTGTGTCTAAAAWTTTTTTTTWAAAAAAACAGCTTATTCTTGCTTTGCTTAATAGCCTTAAAGATCTTTATAAATTTTTCAGTATTTTATGGATACTTAAGTCCACCCTGTATAATTTAATTTGTTGCACATATGTAATTATATTGCTTTCCTGCTTAAAAAAACTTCATGCTCTAAAAATATATGGAACCATTGAACTTTTTAATCAGGGTAGCTGCCAGGAAGAAGCCTCTTCTTTTGATTGTTCAGGATTTGAACTTAAGGGCACTCTAGCACTGAATCACATCCCCAGCCCTATTTTGTATTTTATTTAGAGACAGGGTCTCACTGAGTTGCTTAGCTCCTTGCTTTTGCTGAGTTTGGGTTTGAACTTATGATCCTCCTGCCTCAGCCTCCCAAACCACTCGGATTATTGGCCTTTGCTACCTGGATTATAGGCCTGTGCCACCTCGCCAGCAAGAAGAGGCCTCTTTTTACAGCATAATTAGAGCAATTCTGCTTGTATTTGTTTTACAAATTCAGCTGCTCAATAAGATTTATCTTGAGTCTCTGCGAGTTACTACATACTAAAAATTTTTGCTCTAGAAGTGAAAATATAGTCCTGACACTTAAGATTTTTTACTCTATTCAAAATGATCTGTATATATTTCTGAATTCTCAACTCCTTTCATTTATTGCCATTCCCCTGGAATGAAGAGCTATGCTGTCTTTCCTGTCTTGGAAGAAGGGTACATTTTAGGATTAAACTCAAGTTCCATTTCCTCCCTAAAGTCATCTCCGACTGCCCTATTTTTTGACTCTAACATCCTATAGCATTGACTTTTTCAAGCTTTGGTTTGATGTGTGGCATATACAAACATTACTGGAATTTTTGGTTTACATGTGTCCTAAATCTAATTATTTGTATAAATTGATCTTAAGATTAACATTCATGTTCTATAATATTTGCATTAAGAGCTCCAGATGTTCTACCCATTACTTAATAGACATGTACGAGCATCCTTTGTTGATAATGCTGAACTTGTAGGGGGTGGAGGCAGCCAGAGGCTTGACTATGGGGATTTCAATAGATTACTTTTGGTCACCTGCCCATATTATCCACATGTGTAGTCAAAAGAGAGAATGATGATGAAGCAAAAAGAAATGAATTGATTCACAGTTTGATCCAAAGCCAAAATAGTATAGAATTTGTATAGTGAACAAAAGCCAAGAAGTATTGTTGTAAGTCTGGTTTGTAAATCCTGCTCATCTTCTGGGTCCCTAGTGTGGGGGCTGCGGGCAGTTTCCATTCTCGGCATGATATGCAGCTTGGCAAGGTGTGTGTGRGGGGCAATTAAATGTACTTAACCTGTACTTAAAAGGTACAAACTGGGTGCTTCTTCTAGTTCTTTTAATTTTAAAGATGGTCCTTTTACAAACTGAGAAAATGATATATTTTGATTTTTTAAAAATCATGTTTTAGTTTTTATTTGTAAAAGTACCTTGCTAGTTATATATTTTTTWAAAAAATTTGTAATTCTTTTTAAGAAATTTACTGTCCAGAACCAATCCAAATTGACAATGGCTATATTCAAGAGGAATACGAAGTTTACGTATATAGACAGTCTATAACATATGGATGTGATAAAGGATTCACCCTGGTTGGAAAGAGCTCCATTTATTGTACTGTCAAAGAAAACGAAGGAGAATGGAGTGACCCGCCACCTCAGTGCATAGGTAATCAGTTCACAATAGTTATATTTTTGTTTATTCTTACCCTTAGGCCTATATGTGGGCAATAAAGATTCTATGAACTCTCTTAAGAAATAAATGTAAAATCATTCATATATATATATATATATATATATATATATATATATATATTGCATATTTTCGCTTTTCTGTGGGACAGTTTTTTCTTCCGATTGTCAGGGGACTATGACTTCCATACACACAGGCAAAAAGAATATAAAATATAAAAGCTTAAGAGACATTTGAAATATGTTAAAATTCTAACTGAGGTTAGAAAGAGAGGAGAGAGGTAGAAAGAGAAAAAGAAGAATGAAGAGGGGAAGGAGAGGAAGTTGGAAGAGAAGGGAAGGGATGAAGGCAAGATATTGAAGAAGATAATGACTGAGAATTTTCTATAACTAATGAAATACACCAGGTACTGATTACTCACTTCTCAGCAAAAAGAATGCAGCCCAAAAGACAATGAAAAGAAAACTGTAAAATACTATAAGAAAATGACTGTTCACCTAGAGTTCTGTACCCAGTGAATTTATCTTTAAAAATTACACACAAGATATATTCAGACAAAAACTGAGGGAACTTGTCAACGGCATACCAGACCTTATGAAAACTAAAGGAAATTTTTAAGTAGGATGAAAATAATCCCATGTCATACATGAACATGCAAGAAGAAATGAAGAACACTGACAATGGGTAATGAACACTGACTTCATGAGGGAGTAAAATACTGTGTCTTGTGGGATTTGAATTATATGTAGACTATAATAGAAATAGAACCTCCGACAGAAATAAGGAAGAGGAAGTAAATTCAGTGTAAATGTTCCAAAGTTCTAGATGTACTGAAAAAAGTGGGAAACATAATTAATTTGCCTAGTTGGCTTATAGTCTAATGCTAATTGCTAGAGTTGCCACCAAAGAATTCTAAAAGAATGTGTATATCACAAGCATAAAGGAAGGATATTATTTAATCCTGAAGAAAATGAGAGGAAAGGAAACAAATGTAAAATAGATAGTGGTTGAAACCTAAATTCATCAGTAATTGTATTAATTGTAATTTGACTAAGATTGTCAGACTCAAAATAAAACCTAACTATTTACTGTTTACAGGAGACATAGTTGAATGATAAGAGAATAAATTGATTGAAAACAATGGGAAATGTACTATACAAACATTAACAAAAATGGTGCAGCTCTGTTAATATCAATGAGTACCTGAAGATAGGACAGTTCATAATAAAGGAATCAATTTGGGAAATCTGCAATTCACAATCTAAAATATGTATGCATTTGAAAAATAGTTTCAATTGATAAGGACAGAATGGACAGGAAAAAAATAGACAAATCCACAATCACAGTTGGAAAATTCTACATACTATTTCAGTAGCTAATAGAATGAACATTAAAAATCATTAAGAATATGGAAGATCTGAGCAATAGTTGAGCTTAAATTTATGTGTAAGGATATGGGATCCTCAATGACAGATGGCCCATTTTTTTCAAGTGCACATGAGACCTACACCAAAATTGACCATATAGCTAGGCTTGGAATTAAATGGATTTCAGAAGATTAAAGTTATTCAGAGCATGCATTCCTGAACACAGTGGAATTAAATTATGCATCAATAACAAAAAATAAATAAATTTTCAGAAAATATAACTCCTTTGGTAGTATATAAGTCCTCTGAATCAAAAATGAAAATTAATTCAGTGGAACAAAGAGTACTTTTTATACACAAGGGTTTTAAAAGGAAAAGTCCATATAAAAACCTTATTTACTCCAATGATGATGACATTATTTGAGTGCTGCTAAGTGCTGTGTTCCTTGCTAAGTATTTTATTGACTTGTCCCTTATATCATCCTGTGATATAGGTAAAGGAAGGAAACAAACAAAAAAATAACATATCATCTGAGTATCCAGAATACTGGCTGTGTGATGGGGGGTGGCTGTGGTACTGGCTGATACGACCTGTTGCTTTGGGGACACAGCTGTGTGAAGCAATTTACCAAGTCATTTCCATTCATCTTTACAATGATGTCATGCATTCTACATTAGGTTTTTTGTTTTTGTCTTCATTTTTTATTAATTTATTTTTAAAAATTGACATAATAGTTGTACAATTACATGGAGTACAGTGTGATGTTTCAATACATGTTCAACTGTGCAATGATCAAATCAGAATAATTAGCATCAATTTGTTCTGTTTTTCTCCTCAGTTTACAGAGGAGAAAAGCAAAGCTTAGAGGGATTAGAGAACAAGGGATTAGACCCTTGGCATGTGGTAGAACAAGCCTCTGGCATGGTCTGCACAGCAAGCCTGTATAAGCAACCCAGACATTGCCATTTTGTTATTTGTGGTTCTAAGAATATGTCTTTAATGGAAGTTTTGTAATAATTGTTCTTTGGACTGAAATCTGAAGAGGAACTAAACAGATACATAGAGTTGGTAACTGGTACAAGAGGAAAGGGAATTATTTTTACTCAGACCTATGAATTACTTTAAAAAGAAGTGAAATAGGTCCTGAAAGCACTGGAAAAAGCAACAGTGCTATGACTATCTGCAGCAGTTCAGTGATAGCATCATGTTGTTCCTTGGTCCTGGCATGCGGGAAGGAAGACAGTTTTGGAGAGAAAATAAAGAGAAATGAGAATGAGATCACCACCGACTCCAAATTTGGTTTCCTTTTTCTTCTTTCCCCACACGGAAAAGTTTGAGACCCTCAATATGACCTTAATATAAATCTGTTTTAGTCATCTATAGGTGTAATTAATATCAGAAGCAAAAACAATGTATTATTTTAACTCCTTGCCATATACACTAAGACTAGATTTCCCTAAAAGTCAGTCTAGGTTTTTGGTGGGGACAGAAAGCCTACAGAACAAGCAAAGGCTAAGAAAGTTTCACTGGAAAAGCAATATTTCGCTAATTTTTTTCTTAACATTTTTTCTCCACAGGAAAATCCTCAGGTTCCAAGCCTTCACCGACAGCTCAGAAGCCCACCACAGTCAGTGTACCAGGTACAAGAGTCCCACCGACACCCCAGAAGCCCACCACAACCAGTGTACCAGGTACAAAGGCCTCACCAACACCTCAGAAAACCACCACAGTAAATATTCCAGCTACAAGAGCCCCACCAACACCTCAGAAGCCCACCACAATCAATGCACCAGGTACAAGAGCCCTACCAACACCTCAGAAGCCCACCACAGTCAATGCACCAGGTACAAGAGCCCTACCAACACCGCAGAAACCCACCACAGTAAATATTCCAACTACAAGAACTCCACCAACATCTCAGAAGCCTACCACCGTAACTGTTCCAGATACAAAAGCCCCAACACCTCAGAAGCCCACCACAGTAAATGCTGCAGATACAAGAGCCCCACCAACTCCTCAGAAACCCACCACAGTAAATGCTGCAGATACAAGAGCCCCACCAACACCTCAGAGGCCCACCACAGTAAATGCTGCAGATACAAGAGCCCCACCAACTCCTCAGAAACCCACCACAGTAAATGTTCCAGTTACAAGATTCCCAACACATCAGAAGCCCACTACAGTAAATATCCCAGCCTCAGAAGCCCCATTAACTTCTCAGAAACCTATCACAGCAAATAATTCAACCACAAAGACCCCAGCAACAGCTCAGACATTCACTATATCAAATGCTCTGCCTACAAAGACCTCACCAGCTGCCCAGACTCTCCTCATGGCTAATGCTTTTGCTACACAGACCACAACAACCACTCAAAAAGTCTCCACCACAAAAGCTTCATTTACACAGCGTTTTCCAGCAACACGAAAGTCCACTACTTTACATGTCCCAGTGACCCAGGGTCTCAAAAGTACAAAAAGATTCACCTCTGCTCGTATTACAGCAACACAGCGCCCATCTGTTCCCAAAGCAACCACGAGTTTTCATACAACAAGAGTAACGGAAAGAAAAGAAACTTCTCCTTCAGGTCAGTTGGTGCTGTTCTCAAATGTGATCTGACGCACTATGATGAAATGTGAAGCTGACCGAGATTGCAAGATTGAATAGTTTCCAATTTATTGTAGCCAGGCTTTTTCATAATAATGTTTTTGACTCATTCATAATCATTGATAAATGTAAATAATAAGATGACGAGTTTTGTTAGAATCTGCTGAAAGGAAGTTAGGTTTCTCATAGTTTCTTGATGGTAAGATGGGTTCAGTTGTTATTTACTATTTGATCTTTTCAAACTTGTTTCTTGCCACCAAGTTAGAGAACCAAATTTAGATGATGTTTGTTTTAGTATTCAATAGCTATCATAACTTATGTTTATAGTGTTGAATGTTAAACAGATATAGACGCTGATATTTATGTTACTTGATTAAGTAAATAATGTATAATTTATAATTATTTATACTTATAAAAATTGAAGTTGCTTTTGAGCTTTCAAGTATATTTTATTAATAGCTATGTATCGATATTAAATCTCTAGCAAATCAGATAAAATTTAAAAATTTAAATTTTGTAAATATTTTTTTCTTCTTTCTTTTCAGGTGCTGTCAGTCTTATATATGGTAAGTTTGGCTCCCAGACAGTTAAAAGAAATTGCCATCACTGTGGGATGTACAACCCATATTCCTGGAAGAGAATATTACCTTTTAACTGTCTTAGAAAAACTATCAAAATGCAGTGTTTAGGGGTACCTAAGAGAAAATGGGTAAATGCATTTTATCAACATGTTGTGTGGACACCATTAGGTACTCGATACGTTCCTGTGTATTCCAAGTCATGCTCTTGTTCCAAGGTAATTTTAAGACAACTTCAGATCACAAGGCCAATCAATCAAGTAGTATTGCGTGCCCACTGTCTCAGAGCCTCATTCTAGGAACTTACAAGATGGAAACGAAACAATTATAAATCAGTTTGTATCCTCAAGTGTTTGACAATTGATCATAAATTACTTTTTTTACCATTTCTAGATCTCTGTCCTATTCCAGATGAGACAAAAAGTGCTGCCTTTGATAACATATTTGTCTTTTCCTCTTCTCTGTCATTTGAAGCAAAGTTCTTTTAAAAACTGTTCTGTTGCTGTGCAGACATGAGGCCAAAAACATCTGCGTTGCAGTTTATTCTGGCATTTGGTACAGTATTTTCTTTGTATAGACATATTTGATGTTATACGTTAACAAAAAAATCAATAAACTATAAAGATGGTAAGAGAAATGTTGTTAAGAAACAATACAACTAGATTTATATACTGATAAGAATGTTCAATTGACAATACACTTTTATTTTTAAAAAAGTGTTTATTTTTATATTATGTACTTTTTAGCAAAGTTCCCTGTCTTATATATGCATGAATTATCAAGGGACAATAAACCTGAAAACAGATATTTTGTTATTACTAGTATTGTTATTTTATACTGCAAATGCTGGAAGATTTAAAAAGCTAACCGATTTATCTTGAAAGATTCCAACGGTTGGAATTCTTTGTTTATTCTATATTTGAAATAGAAATAAATGTTTTCTAAATGAAAAAACAATCTCATGATTTAATGATTCACTGTTCACAAAAAAATGATGAGTTTTATAGATGACTTTTTTTTTTTACTTGACCAAGGGTATTCAGTAAAAGTTTGAAGAGCTTATTTTTTTTTCTCTGAAGTTCTCAAGGTCTATAATCTGATTTATTTCCCAGGAAACTCTATTCAAGGTTGGTTGTAATTCTAGCTTGTGTTAAAAAATAAAAAGGAGCTCCTTCTTTCTTGACCCAGACATATAGCAGCATTTGTGTGTGTGTGTGTGTGTGTGTGTGTGTGTGTGTGTGTGTGTGAGAGAGAGAGAGAGATAGATCGATCGATCGATCGATCTTGGAAGACGTAATCCTGATAATTATTTTATTTCTCAGATTAATGTTGTGAATTATTTTAAAGATAAGTAAACTGTGTTGCAAAGAAATTGCTTTTGATTATACCGCAGTGTAAGTAAATGATGCAGATGATAGAAAACAAAAATCAACTATTTCCCAAGTTCTATTTAATTGCACTAATGAATCTTCATAGTATTTCCTAATTGCCTTGTAAATGACACTGGCACTATGAATTTTAAAAATATTCTTCTACTGGATCTCTCAATATGTATTTATTCTTTCCTTTTCTCTACCAAGGACCTGCTTAGACGCACACCCACATCATCATCTTCCATGAGATTTTAATACTGTTCATTAAATCTATTTATGTACGTTTCTATATAACTATACTTTATACAGATAAAAACAGTAAGGTTGTTTTTTTTTTTAACCTACTTGGGATATCACCCCCATATAGTTTTACTAGTTTTTGTGTTTGAAGACAATATTATATAGAAAAAAGAAAAAGAGTTTGTGCTTTGTGCCTTGGATTCAGTCAGACCTTGGTCTGAATCTCTTTTTTTTAATTTAGTAAATATTCAAAGCAAGTAATTAATCTCTCAGTTCCAGTTTTCTCATTTATGAGAGAGACATTATGGTTTCTATAAAAAAATCTTTGAAGCTTGATGTGATAATGGATTTGAAAACTCTAAGCACAGTACCAAAAGTTAAATGAATATAGTTTCAAGAAATCATAACACTATGAATTTTATGATTCACGATAATTTTATAATTCCCTCTGGCCACACTGAAGAATAAGAGCAGTTTTTAATTCAAGTAATATTTGCATGTTTGCTATGTAGCCAGTACTGTACTGAGATTTTTATATGTGTTAATTTTCTTTTTAGAGTAGTTTTATAATGTAGCATTTTCATATTTTTCAGCTGATAAAACTGTAGTTTCACATAATTTATAACTTGTCCAAAGTCACAGAGATAAAAGGAAACTGTCCAGTGAAGGATAGCATTTCTTCCTAGTAATAGGACAAGAACCTGCACAACTCAAATTAGACAAGGTAGCCTTGACTTTTTTACTAATATTGTTATATTTTCTCCTCTCATTGTGGAAATACCATATTGTGACATTCATAAATTCTTTATGCTCAATTGAAAGAATATTAAAGAAAAAGAGAATACTTGGTGAAATACATATTTTTCTATATACTTTATCATATACGTATTTACTTATCCTTTACATATCTACTTGACTATGGCATGTATTCCCAATATTTCAAATGTAGCCAAAATCTAAGTGTACTTGCAAGACTCTAACATCTTATGAAGTTATTTCAAATGAATAATTTGCTGATTCAAGAGTTACCACTGTCTTATTGCATGTTTCTTCACCTGACATACTTCAGTTCCACTACAATAATTATCCATCCGTTACTCAGAGTTAAAAAGTCAGATAATATATAAGAAGTCAGATAATATAATTAGTTTTTTGTGATTGTTGTCATCTGGAAAAGGAATTGTGTGAATTTCTTTTATCTGAAAAATTTGAAGAACCACAGAGACCAAATCTAACAATCATGTCAAGACACATAAAGGGTCCATTTCGTGTTGCTCAGAGGCAGTAATGATGAGAAAATTTATAAATGTGAAAATTTAATGTAACTTTGACTTTTCTGGGTATCAATATATATTCACCTACAAAATGAGAGTGAACTCCAAAGTGCCTTCTAACTCATTATTCAGTTTATATTTGAACTACTGATGATCAAACATTTAAAAGTAAGCATGGTTGTGTTAAATACTTTAGAATCCTCTAAAACCTGTTAAAAAAAATTTGTATTTGAGCACTGTGATACTTTATTTCTTTCTCTTTCAAAGAAGACAGGAGAAATAACATGCTGTATTTATTGTTGAATTGTGACATAGGAATCCATATACCAAATGCAAGTCATGTCTCCCTTTTTTTCTTTAATTTGTCTTATAACTACTGTGTGTCATTGGGAAGCTCCAATGAATATGCCATTGTTGTTATTAATTGTGTTACCAAATTTTTTCCCCTCAAGGACTTGTTGCTGCTGCTATAATAATTGGTATCCTAATTCTAGTCAAAATTTTCTGGGACTATGGAAAATCAGGGTGAGCAGAAATTCTGATMATTTTTTAAAAATCTTTTCTTGGCTATTGTTTTTCAGTAATACTTAATACTGTATCAGTAGATAACTTGCTTAGCTTTATTGTATTTTWGGACATGTTGCCTCTTCATTCCTTCTGTCTGTAATTACTGTCCTGGAGAATAGATTTTGTGTCTTTTTTCCCCCCTCAGTATATTCTAGGACAGAAACCATATTACATAGGAAAATGATGGAAAGCCAGTGTCTTACTTTGTGATGTCTTAAATCAATGGACTGTTTTTCTTTTCAGTATAATTTATAATATCTGTGTATTATACAGAAGGAAAAAAATCTAGGAAAAGTTCAACTTCTCACATTCTTAAATTGCCTGTGATGAGGTGTTTTTCTGTACTGTGTATATTAGGTACTAATCTAACCCAAATCAACCCAGCAATTAAGATTGCAGGCCCTGGGTGTGACTGCTCACTTGGTCTGTCACTTATGATCTCTGTGACTGTGAGCAACTTAACCTCTCTGTGCCTCAATTTTTCATGTGCAAAGTATCATACCTACCTCATGGGATTGTAAAAAGGATTACTTAAGTTGTCACCTGTAGAGGGTAGAACAAGTTGCTTGGCACATGATACACACTCAGATGTTAAAACAGCAACAGGACAAAAAAAAATCAGTATTATTCAAAACATCCAATCTGCATTGAATCTACATTTTAACTGTAAATGTCATGGTTGGCTCTGTTGTATCCTGTAGACAGAGTGATTTAAATGTACCTGTTTTRTTTTAGGAATTTAACTGTTCAGAAATCTAATTGTGAAATTCATATAGGCCTGAGTTCTCAGTTGCTTGAATGCCTGTCCTTTCTTTTTTCATTAATTAATATAACAAGTACATTTTAATTTTCTTACTAAATTTCCTTTTTGGTTGATGTGAGCTATCTAATTTTTACCCTCTATGACTTTTTCCTTTCTCCTTAAATTAACAATAGTATCTAAGTATAAAGTATGTGAATATTCTTTAAATAAGTATTTCAACTTTTTGGTAAAAATATTTGGCTGGCAGGTCCTAGGGTCAAGGATGGTTAACAGCTTTTACAGATACTTGCTTAGTGTCAATTAAGAAGTCTAGGTACTACCATAGCAAGTGTATTAAGATATATCTTTTTCTAACTTTTAAGAATATGGTTAGAGCCTAGCAAAAACTAGCAGATTGATTCTTAGGCATGTAGAGTGAGTGAAGTTAGAATAGATGCCTGAACACAACTACTTTGGAAGAAATTCAGTCAATTCACCAACCTTATGTACTTATTTGTTCCAGCTCTATTTTTAGAGTGTTATAAATTTATCACGTTATAAATTATCAATTTATAAAGCATTATCAGTTTACCAAAGTTAGTGCCTTGGTGCTCCATGGGTCAGGAGAGGGTGGCAAGGGATGAGTTTACCAGCTTTCATCAGCATCTTTACATACTTTGGTAAAGCAATTTGCCATGATATTTTACTAGGATGAAAAATGCTGGAATATAGAAGCAGTATTTGTATTGAATTATATTTGGGGATTTTTGCAGTAAACATAATTGCTTAATTTCTGAAACAGAGGGAATGTCATACAAACCCATAGCACTTGACCTTTCTTATGTACACTTAAAAAAATAATCCACTCACCTTATTTTGAAAGTGTAAGCTGTCAAGGGTAAGAACTGACTTTATACATGCGGGTTATTCTCCAGATTTCATATTTATTTAATTAAAAATTTGAACTTCATTAGGACAGAGGATACAGATAACTAATGTGAAAGTGATAATGTAACTGTATCTAATCATTTTTATATCTGTCTACCAGAGGGTTTATTTACTTCTTTAAAAGTGTTGGGTTTTTACAATAAATTTTAGTGTCGGGATGGGAGAGTAAGCAAACGCCTGATTTTGTTCTTTGATTGAAATTTACATTATATAATTCAATTAGTTTTTTCCTTCTTTACTATCCAGCTCTTATAACACATATGAGAACAACAAAGCAGTCAATGTTATGTTTCATAATTTAAGTGAGACTGATGATACCTCAGAAGTCAGACATTCTGATAAATTATAAAAGGTATATATATATATGATTTAATAAAAGCACATTTCTGTGTCTTCAAGACAGTGGGCTTAGGGTTTCTGTAGACTCTTAAAGGATAATAGAGTCTTAAGTCTCTATTATAGAGTCTTAAGTCTTTATTATTGCTAGAATTGTTTTTCTTTGTTGAACAAATGACTAACACTAACTCTGTCCTTACTGTGACGCACGTCATCCATTCTTGCATCAGCAGTATGCTCATCATCTCATCCTGAGTCGAACTCTGTTTATTGTACTGATTAGATGCTATGATGCCACAAATACTTGGGAAGGGAACAATGATACATTAAGGCTTAATAACAATGTTTTCATTATGACAATTTGCATCATGAGATGATTGGCCTGTTCCATGTTTGTTTCTCCTGTTGCTTAGTGGCTTTTAGTGTTTAAAAAAACTTATAATATGTGTTAAGATATTTTTTTACGAGTCATGCATATGGATCTTAAAAGACACCATTTGTCTTTACACAAAAATTACTTGATGTAAATTTACCTGTGAAATTTTCTGTGTCTAAATCTAACGAAACTTTTCTCTACTTCACAGGTTGTCTGTAGGAGATAATCATTGATTTTTGGTATAAATGACTTAAATGACTCTAGCTTGGCTACTATTAATCTAAGAAACTAAAAATTGTCTTATTTTAATTGTTGCTATAGCTATTAAATTATGCCTGCAGAAGTTATTCGTGCTTTTTAACTTACTAATTTTGCATTTGTTTTGTACCCCCAGTTAACCATCTCTTTTTGCTGCTTTATTACATAGAAACTAAAACTTAAGGTTTGTTAGTAGTGAATGAACCATTTTGATTGTAATTTTTTTTTTTTTTTACTTTCAGGGCACACATATATAACTTTGACAGTTTTGCTTGTGACGCTAGGAACCATTGGCTATCTGACTTAGCCAAAGAAGAGTTAAGAAGAAAGTGTACTCATGTACACAGAATACTTGTAGTTTGTTAGAACATTCTGGAGAAGTGGATACAATAAATGCAGTAGTTCTCTATGTTTTACATGTTATTCTTGTGTTGAAGGTGTATTGGGAATGTTAACAAAGCAAGGACAAAAGAGTGTGTCTGGAATCACGTTCCCAGTATACCTAAGGCCTCTTGAGAATAGAACAACTCCCAGAATGGAGGGTGATCACTTCTAAAAGTGTAGGGACATGTTCAGAGGTTTGTTCCTATTTAGACTGGGAACTTGAAAAAAAGGAAATAACTGTTTTTTTTTTTTCACTAGATGTGTTATTTTAATTTAATGAAAAGTAAAAAGTTAAAAATATTAATTGGCTAGCAAAAACAAACAACAGAATCTAGTGTCTTCTAAACAGAATTGCCAAAAAGAGATGAATCACATTCTAAAATGATCTGATCTGTCAGGAATTTTCATCTCTACTTAGTCTATTACTTGTGAAATGATTAAACTGTAATTTTGTCCTGAGGACAAATATTTTATTTTGCTTTGTTTTCCCCAGTAAAAGAGAATTGTTAAAATTGTCTTCTTTGATTTAATATCTTTAAAAATACTCTGGAGATCTCATTGACATAAGATTCTATTATTTCTGAAATAAGATGTTTATAGCGAATTGTAAATCTTATTCTTTTGTAATATAAGATTAATTTATTTATATTTATTTATGTCAGTGAACATTTTGGTTTCACATGTAAAACAAGAAAACAAGCTATGTAAAGAAAAATTTATTTTCCTTAAATAGAAATAAATAATTAATCACATTTTTGTCTCATGTAGTATTTGAAATTTATTTTCTTAAATGTGAATATTTTATTTCTCAATAAGAGATTATCTTCCTGCCTCCCAAAAGTAGTTTAGAATATTGTCTTTTGATTATCCTCGGGTGAGTCATTTTCAGTTACTTTTAAATTGTACCATATTGTATTTTCTGGTTACTGGTATTTTCCTTTTAGTTTATTATTTGTTATTGGTTCACTTAAAGGCAACACATTAATTTCTGTGTTTTTAATCTGTTCTTGTCATTTGTTGATTACATTTTAAGTGTTTGACTAGACTAGAATATGCATACAACTCTACTAACAAAGATTATGTTTGCTTCATCTGTTTTGTCAATGGTAGTAAAAAACTTTAACATGAATTCCAAATGCTTCATGAAATTTCTCTGTAAATACTAAAATATAAATTTTTAATAATAAGGACATTGTCATTCCTAAATGACTCTAGTTTGGCCAGAGTCACGATTAACAATATTAATAATTACTTTCATTAGTTTCTAATATTACAAAATTCTTTATGCTCTTCTAACTGGGAATGGGCAAATATCTACCTACTGATTCATTCCTTTGTTAAATATGAGGGCCTGCTCTGCTATCCTGCAACAACCTGGTACTTCTTAGAGTAGCAAGGACAGCACYGGTTCAGTTATTCCAAATAATACCACAGAGCCTACTATGTGCTCGTTACCATCTGTTYGTCTTAGGGTTCCAAAGATAATCGCAATGTCTGTCCTCAAGTTTCGTATAGTCTACCACAGGAAGAATAAGACTCTATTTACTGAGAGAAAAAATGCAGACTAGAGTTATAGCACATATCTTATAGAACACATTGGGTGCTTACGTTGCTACCTGTTAAGCAAATGAGTGGTGGGTAGGGTGGCGTTCAAGACAGGGTGCTGAGCAAGAGAAGAACAAATGGAATTCTAATGGCAGGACTGGGAATGACAGTGAAGCATAATAGAAGTAGGAAGGGCTTGGAAGAGGTTGTGAGTGTTGTACATTCACTGTAGGAGTAAAAAGTATGAAACTTGTGACTTTATTCTGCCTTGATCCAAATAAAAGAATCAATAGGAGCAGGTTTATAATATCAAGTATTTCAGATATTGAGGAATAGTGAACTTTGACTATATAATGCTTTGAATTAGCCTGTCTTACTAAGATAAGGGCAAAAGCTAAAAAAATAATAACATTGGATGAAATAATAATTTGAGCATTAGGCATTTGGGGGAATACCAAGATATTCTTGTAGGATATATATTTAGAATCTTGCATAAAATCTAACAATTTTCTTTTGTCTCCAGGTAATTTGTGAGATTGCACTCTGATTTCGAAGGTTATGTGACCTTTCCCTCTTGAGACTGATCCTTATTTGATCTAGCAAATTGCTCACCACAGAAATTTGGTATACCAATATGTAACCACTGTTATTACAAGTTGAGCATCCCTAATCTCAGAGTCCAAAAGCAAACACTCCATGTTGAGCATCAGCATGGTGTCACAAATGGAAAATTCCACACCTGACCTCCTGTGATCTGTCATAGTCAAAATGCAGGCACATACACATTAAAAGTATTGTATAGAATTACCTTTAGGCTATGTGTATACTATATATATGAAACACAAATGGATTTCATGTTTCAGCTTAGGTCCCATGCCCAAGATACATCATCATGTATATACAAATATTCCAAGACCTGGAAAAATTCAAAATCAGAGACAATCCTGGTCCCGATCATTTCAGATAAGGGATATTCAACCTGTATTGATTTGGGGGAGCACTTGAATGTTAGCAGTATTTTGTCTTCCTTACCACACCTTAGTCCTGTTTTCTTTGGTCAATGTCCAGTGTGCAAGTGCCTCATTTTCCACAAACAGCCTTAGCTGTTTCCACCTTGCTTAAACCCAAAAGTAGCCTCTTCCATGAAGTCATTTCCCCCATTGCAGCCTGTTCCAGCAGTGGTGGGTGTCCTTATGCTCATTGGGAGAGGTGGTGCAGGCATTGTCCTTGCTCCCCATTGCCATCTCAATCCAGTGTCCACACACTTCTTCACTTTGATAGGACAATTTACTAAAATATCCAATTTTTTCCCCCTTTAGTTCTTCCTCTTTTGATTCCAAGCAGGTAGAAGATGGTCTTCCTGCCACAGGGGACATCACACAACATGAAAGCAGAACTGCTTGAAGACAATCTTCTTCCTTGCTATCCTCTGACATCCTGCACAATCCTCAAGAACTCAGCTGTTAGGATGGAGGAGAAACAGAACAGGAAGAAGGACGATGCCTGGGATCAGCAGTGACAGATCCTGATGACAGCCTCCTAGCCAGGCATCCTGACTGTCTCTAATGCAGGGCGGTAAGAGCTTAGAAGTGAGTGATGAAAAGTGGTAGGATTAAAACTGTATTTTGAAGATGGAGCTGGCAGGATTTGTTAAATGATTAGACAAAAGAATTTTTAAAAATGAGACAGAGTGAAGGATGATAACTCAAGTTTTAGCCTGAGAAATAGAAAGGGTAAGATGGCCATCTATTGAGAGTTTTTTGTAGCAGAAAGAACAGGTGTTTGGTTTTAGATTAAAGTTTGAGAAGCCTTTTAGATATCAAAGTGAAGATATTACATAGGTTGTCTAAAATACAAATCTAAAGTTCCATAGGGGACATCTAAGCCTAGGATAGATATTTGGGAATCAAGAGTAGGAGAGAATGTGCCAAGGAACATAGCTAGAGAAAGTAAGATGAAGACTTGGATTTGGGATTAGGGTTACAACATGGAGGTCATTGGTGGCCTTGACCAGAACTCTTTCAATAGAGTGGTTGTAGGTCGAAGCCAAGGTGGAGAGAATGGAGAGGCTCTCATGAAGGCTAGGTGGAGAGAGATTGGAGATAGCCAAAACAGGGTAATATAGACAACTTTTTCAAGAGGTTTTACAGAAAAGTTGGGGCACAGAAGTAAGATGCTCAGTGGAAGACAATGTGGGATTGGAGAGATTTTATTTTGAAAAATGTGGAAAATTATATCATGTGATGTTAGATGATGTGAGGGAAATGGGGAAAATTGCTAATGTCCTTGAGGAGTTGGAAGGTGGTCAACTCTTCCATCTTGAGAAGCAGTTTGGCAGAACATGGATTCTGGGGATGGACTACTGGGACTCAAGTCAGAGCCCACTGCCTATCAGCCACATAAGCGGAGGAACATTCCTTGTCTCCATACCTTTGTTACCTACCTCTGTGGGGTGGGGATGATAGCCCTACCTCCCTTATTGGGGAGAAATCAATAAGTTAATAAACAAAGGGCTTAAAATAGTGCCAGCCCCTTAGAAAGTTTTAGCCCTTTTAGTGTACAAGTGGAGAACATGGCCTTAGGAGCGGGAGGGGAGGTAGCGGAAGAGAGCATGGCTCTGGATGGATTGGGGCATGCCACGGTGACTGCTTCTGGGCATTTTCTTCATTTTGCTTCTGTTTCTTCAGTGACACAAAGCAAGGTCATCGCAAGAATGAAGGCACACCAGGAGGTATTGTGGTTTAGGAAAGGAAGAGAAAGAAAGGACTAGATGAAGTCTCAGGAAGAGCAGTCCCATGGATTTAACCAGGATTGTAATGTTCCCAGGTGAATATAAGATAAAGTGAGTGAGGGTGTATACAAGAAAGTGATTAAAATATTGAACCATAGGCTTAACTATGGGAGTGGTGAGAAACAGTGAAAAGTTATAAGATCAGTTTTTCGTAGGTCCTGATGGGGTTTAGATTTGTTAGAATTGGGGTACTAGCAAGAATGAACTGAAATGGTAAGAGGTAGTGCAGGGAAACAGGGATGCCTAAATTAAGACAAAACAGAGAATTGGTGACCAGAAGCCAGAGCTGTCCATACCTATTTTCTCTTCTTTCTGGAAACACAGCTAGCCTTTCTGAGCACACTTGTAGTAAAGGGTGGACATAGGACTAAAGTCTAGTCAATTCTCTAGTGAGCAGAGAAAATGTGTGTCATTTCTAGACCTGCCCCTAAAACATTCCTATACACAGTCCTGCTGCCTCTTTGTCTCTAATGATTCAATGAAGGTGGATGTAGTGAACTAGGAAGTCATGTGTTCAAGATGACATAGCCACAGAAAGGAAGGAGCATGGGTCACTGCCCAGAGGAGAGCTATCTGTTGGTCAGGTACATTCCCCTTTAGATACCATATGAGGAAGGAATAAACTTCTGTCATGTTTATATTTTGCAGGTTGGTTAGTAATGTGATTGTAGTTAACATTACCTAAACTAATACAGAAGGCCTACAGTTTTCAGTGATTGAAGGGTTTTGACAGAACCATGATTGTGAGAGGTTGAAATAAAATGCTGCACAGAATTGGGAAACAGGAGGCCATGGAAATCTACATAGATGTTGAAATCACAAAGAAGCATGGGAATTTGTGTCACAGAGAATGGCAGTGAGTTCAGGGCTAAAATATT